ACATCGGCTTATCCATCGCTAGTTTTAGATATAATGCCAGTTGGTAAGTTTACCCATCATGCATTTGGTTTTTGGATGTACAAACATTGCTTGTCCATTGCTAGTTTTAGATATAATGGCAGTCGGTAAGTTTACCCATCATGCATTTGGTTTTTGGATGTACAAACATCGCCTATCCATCGCTAGTTTTAGATATAATGCCAGTTGGTAAGATTTCCCATCATGCATTTTGTTTTTGGATATCATGCAACATGCATAGCTCAAGTTGAAATCCAATTTTTAGTATATTATACATTTTTGTAGTAAACTTCAAATTGACGGAACATAGTAGATATTTCATGAGCCCCCCTCCCTCCGCATTATCAGATTTATTTTATTACACTCATTTAATAAATCTGATATTATAGTGTCACAAATTTGATGTCATGTTTATTACATATATGTAAAAGCTAAAAACTAACACATATTCCCGTATTCAAGACATTGTAAAACATGCTGGCTCATTTGCATAAATGATCCCCATTCACGAACACTGATTATTTTTAGTTTACTCTATTACGATTAAAAATTATAGTTATTTTTGGAGCTATCATTATATTTATGGTTTTGAAATGCATTGGTAACATTGTTACTAATTATGTTGTCAATTCAAACCATGGTCTTTTCACATTCTGTGAATAATCACCACTATACAGACAGTTTAAGGTTTGGAGAATTTTTGCAGATTTTTATCACACATGTGTTTGCTGTGATCTGAAACTACCAGAAGTATCTCAAATATTATAATTTAAAACCATATTTTGTGATGTCAGAAGTTCAGTCTGCTTTCATCATTTATCAGATTTTTATTACACAGTACGAAGATATAGAAAATTATACTATTATACTACTTTATTACACTGAAATGACATGGTATTTGGGATAATTTCTTATAGAATTTCTTTTGAATTTAAATATATATATTTTCAGTTGATCATATAGTTCAATAGAAATTATTTTCAAACTGGGCAGTAAAATATGTTATCTCTCACAGGCCTCCGGGGATTAATGCTGGCTGTAATGATGAGCGCCCTCATGAGTTCATTGACATCTATTTTCAACAGTAGTAGTACTATTTTCACTGTGGATATTTACAAGAGAATTCGTAAGAAGGCATCTGAGAGAGAGTTGCTAATTGTAGGAAGGTAATGTTTCAATATATGATTCATAATATTTTTAGTATTCTTGGGGTCAGTGCAAGCTGCAGTGGAAAGCCAGTCTGACAGTCGGTGAAAACAACTGCAGTCAAGAAAACAGCAGAAACTGAATTTTGAGGTAATCATGAGCAACCAAATTTATATATGTTGTACATGTAGGGTAATCTTGTTACACTGTTCAGGAGAATCCCAACAACTAGCCCAAAGTACAGTTTTCTGAGAGTTTTTGACCGTTGCTACAACCACTGATGATTGTCAGGCAGTGAATTAATATATCTGAAGATGTTTTATAATGATATGGTGGGATTAACAAATTAGAATAAATGGTACATATTTTTGTTATTTATTTGTTTATTTATTTATTGGAGATGGTATTTACAATATCTTCACACCTGGTTTGTACAGCATTCCTATTAAAATCTGATGTATTATATAGTGTGTATTTTCATCTTGCCTGGAATGATAATGAAATGGCGAGGTATAGTGATTATAATGTCTGTCGTTGTCATTACGGTATATAATGATGAAAATAAATTATATGTATTTTTCATTTCACAGATTATTTGTCATCTTCATGGTAGTTGTAAGCATTCTCTGGATGCCAATTATCCAAGCTGCACAGGGTGGTCGTCTATTTGATTATATTCAATCTATCACCAGTTATCTTGCACCTCCAATCTGTGCTATTTATGTGTTGGCTGTGGCTTGGTGGAGGATCAATGAAAAGGTAGAAACCATGGAAAATGCTTTTAATAATTTTCTAGTAATTACCGGTATGATGCATGTTGAAATCATTTTGAAGACATTGGAATTAAAAATTACTTCCGATAACAACTCCTGAATGCTGTAACTTTACGTTGTAACTTAAAAAATTAGGTCTTTTTTTCTGTCAAAGTTTTCTCTTCGGATTTTATGCCAGGAAGCATGTTAGAATATATTGAGAATCGGGCATGTTGAAAATTGCCAAAAAAATCAGGATGGCGGACCAGTTTCAAAATGGCTGACTTTTTAATATATTGTCACTATACTGTGGAGATATTATAATTATACTATTTCTTTCCAAATTTTATGCCAGAAAGCATGTTAGAATGTTTTGTTTGTATATTTACATATTATGTACAGTGTATTTGTTGCAAGAGAATGGTGTTGAAATAAGGCTATACTCAAGAAATGTGCAGATCCTTGTGCAGCTCATTTCATGAGTGTCCTAACGTGAACTGAACTGCAGTTTGGCATATAGATGTGCACAGGGTGTTTGTAAAAATTAATTCCTTGTCACACTGAAGCTGCTAAAATTAGGTTTATTAAGACAACAATGAAAGTAAAAAAAGGTGTCTTTCAACTTGTATATTTGTGTGCTTACATGTATTCAGATCTACAAGCGTGACCTGAAAGATTGCCATGGCAATCAGAGCTCATTGTCGACAGTGGCTTTGGTATACTTGACAATGAGCTCTTCGAGTCACTAAACTGTATGTTTTGTTGGGTATGTGTGCATGAAGACAGTACAGCGAGAGTATCAACCGCCACGCAGCGTTGGTTGATGCGACTGTGTACTGTCTGAGTGCATACTTTGTAGTATCCTCGTAATAACCTTATTATTATACATCTTTTCCTCCCAGGAATACACAATGGGAATGCCGATATTCAAAATGTTTAGAACAGATTTAGCGAACTTCTTTGTCTGGGGTCCGGTCAAACCGTGGGGCAGCCATGTTTGTCTTCTATTATTAGAGGATGCTTTAGAGCGCAATTGTTCCATATTTGGAATTTGCGTTTCCTAATATGGTAGAATGAAAATACCCAGTGGAATACCGCAAAATTACGACACACTGTAACTTATGGCCTTACGGTGACAGATGTATAATAATGATATTTAACTATTCCTGTGTGACACAAACGATTCTGACATTACACCAGTGACAATTATTTCAATTTATTCTCTAAATAACTCAAAGTACAGGTTACACATGGTTCACAATATGTTTCATTTTATATGTATTTATTTATGTTTTTCACAATCCATACTCTTTTCAGGGTGCATTCTGGGGCTTGATGATTGGCTTAGCTATAGGAATGACTCGCCTTGTATTGGACTTTGTGTACCCGGGACCTGCTTGTGGAGAGGAAGACACACGTCCATCAATAGTTGGAGACGTCCATTTCTTATATTTTGGAATTATATTATTTGTAATTGTATTAATATGTACAACTGTTATCAGTCTTCTAACAAAACCAATAGATAGGAATCGTGTAAGTAAATACAGTGGTAATTTTCTGGTTTTTACTGTCATATAATTGAAATTTGTCTGTCATGTGACTTTTTTTAATATCAATATTGGGAATTTGACTGTCATGTAACTTATCCATATTTGGAGTTTGACTGTCATATGACTTATCCTTATTTGGAATTTGACTGTCATGTGACTTATCCATATTTGGAGTTTGACTGTCATGTAACTTATCCATATTTGGAGTTTGACTGTCATGTGACTTATCTATATTTGGAGTTTGACTGTCATGTGACTTATCCTTATTTGGAATTTGACTGTCATGTGGTGACTTATCCATATTTGGGATTTGACCGTCATATGACTTATCCATATTTGGTGTTTGACTGTCATATGACTTATCCATATTTGGAATTTGACTGTCATGTGACTTATCCATATTTGGAATTTGACTGTCATATGACTTATCCATAACTGGGATTTGACTGTCATGTGGTGACTTATCCATATTTGGGATTTGACCGTCATATGACTTATCCATATTTGGTGTTTGACTGTCATGTGACTTATTCATATTTGGGATTTGACTGTCATGTGGTGACTTATCCATATTTAGAATTTGACTGTCATGTGACTTATCCATATTTGGAATTTGACTGTCATATGATTTATCCATATTTGGAATTTGACTGTCATGTGACTTATCCATACAACCTATATTTGGTATATGGCTCATAATGTATTTTAAATACAACAGTGTACTGTACAACCATTCATTTTCACTATTTTGATATCTTTAATTTTAATGAGTTCAAAGTTCATGGGTTATATGTTCATGTGGAATCGATAACGAAAATAGCGAACTTAAAACCCAGCAAATAATTAATGTATTTACAGTATGACACTCTTCTGAAGTAAATCATTTAGAATGTTTGTATTACAGCTTCACCGCTTGACATTTGACACTCGTTTTAGCCGAGCGGAACGTGATGATCAGTCACTCTCAGAGTTTGCAGTTGAGGAAAAAGATAATAACACAATGGAAATTGAAGAACGTAAGTATCCAACAATACAGTATACACCAGTCACTGGCCGTTACTGATGAACTTTTCTCAGGGCATTTATTAAACTATAATATTTCTTACAGCCGAAAGTAAACGAACTGCATCTGATATGTGCTGGGATCTAATGTGTGGAACGACACAGAAACAGACTGCAGAGGAAAGGAAGGAGCAAGAGAAAAGAAATACCGATATTAGAGAGACAAAACGAAACAAAATTATTGTGAATGTTAATGCAATATTACTTATGGCTGTCAGTATATTTCTATGGGGATTTTATTACTAGATAATGGAAAGCCTTATAGAATGGTTTACATGATCCAAATTATCCGACACATTCAATTTTCAAAAAATCAGATTCTGCAGTTTATACAGAGTGTTTCTTATCTGATTAATTGGACACAAGAGTTCAAGTACATTCAATTTGAAAATATGTGATGAGAATCGGCAGATTATTTTGAATCATGTTAATCGTCCATTATTTTATGGATGTCATATGTTCCTTGTGAGTATATAATATTCATATCAGATAATTATAGGCATAGAGCATTATGGGTAGAACACTGATGCATTTGTCACTTGGGAGTTTGTGAACTGCTTATAGTTATCTCAACTCTGATTGGTTGGATTATATAATTTTACACTGACCCATGATTGGTTAGTTGG